ATATATATATATAAATAATTATAAATTCCTTTAAAGCATGCAAAATTATATGCATTTTCATCATTATCAAAAGAACTGGTCAAAGAACCTTACTAATTAAGTACATGTTTAATGTTGTTGTGTAACATCAAGTCAGAACTGACCAACAGTTGAAGTCTCCAGTAGATAATCCAAGGCAGTTAATCATACAGGAGGAGATTTCCCATACTTCTCCATGGAGCAACTGGTGGACTTGAACTGCATGCTTTCAAGATTACAAGTATAGCTTCATATTACTAGGTCACTAGAGCACCCTACTTAAAAATACATCTTTCATAGACTAAGACAAACACATAAATGAAAGACAGAAAATACTCTTACCATATAATACTCTTAGAAAAAGTACTACTTGATCAAGTATGTTACTTAATTTTTATTAGAATGAAATTCAGGAATTAAATCTTCTAAAACATAGTAAAAGAAGACATGAAATATACAATTCTAGTATACCCAATGAAAGAAGGATGGACAATCTCCTCCTGTACTAATTGTTACCCTGAAAACCTAGTAGGGGGTCAGCTATGAGTTGCTTCCAAATCAACAGCAAACAACAATACTTAATAAGAAGGCAAAACTGATTTCAGTAGTTTACATTTTTTACTTCAATTTCTTCTTATATCATCCACTCATGAGTGAAAATTAGAGAGATATCATGCTTATTACCTTTCTAATAATATACTTACACTGGAGAAATATAAATGGTAAAGAATATGAATATTTTGTAAGTAATAAAAGCTAAAAAGAATCAATATAAAAATTATAGATTACTTTAATAATTAAACATAGTGACTGAGTGGTAAGAAGGTGTGCTGCTAACCCAAATGCACATGGTTCGAATCCATCAGCTACTCTGCAGGAAAAGATGGGTAATCTTCTCATATTCCTTTGAAAACCCACAGGACAGTAAGCTATGGGTGAGTTCCAACTTGAAGGTATGTAATAACAACAACATATGCTACATTTAAATACCCATAATTTAACTACAGAAAATGGAATAACACATAAATGCAAGTCTACACACATCCACACACCATTATCACAAAATATTCTAAAATTATTTATGGTATTTCAGATTTGTATTTGGTAAATTAGATAATTAGGAAAAATATCTAAGGGTTCCATTTTATGTTTTCCATTATTCAATGCCTCCCAATGAAAACTTCTGGGAATCAACACCTTAATTAGTTGTTTCAAATAATTACACAGAAACAAACTTCAGTTAAATATTATAATCTAGCTCTTAAACTAAGAGTTGGATCACATAGGAATACAAATGTGAAGTATCTAAAATAAAAAGCAAAACCTGTAAGTTTTGATACCTTTATCTGATTTTTATTTTAAATATTTTCATTTTAAATCTAAATACTGTTTAAGTGAGAAATGCAATTCTAATCAATGATTTCTGTTCATAAATTCTTATCTTGTATAATACAATTTTTAAAAACAAATAACAAAAGAAAGATTCTAAGTCAGCAGTCAGTCAATAATCAGAACAGAGGGGGAACAGGACCTGGGTTATATCACAGCAGCTGGTCAGGCAGAGGTGTGATAGAGAAAGGTACTAAGAGAGAATGAAAAGTTTTCCCATGTCTCAAATATTCTTTTTCATGAAAACCTTCTGCCTAATCCCTTGTTTTCTTTCTTTTTACTTACCCCTTATTCCTATATTTTCTTTTTTCCTCCTCTTGTTCCTTATCTCCTAAACTTGGTTTTCACTTTACTTCTTTCCCTCATCTTTTTCTTTTGCTACCTTTCATCTGTCTCCACCTCATTATACTTCATATTTTCCTTCTGCAATCTTCCTTAAGAGCTTTAGAGATAAAATACTGGAGTTTGCTATGTTGTCAGGAGGGAAAAAGATATGCTGGGATAGTGATAGTCAGTGAAAGAGAGAAAGACCTTCAACAAAATGGATTAACACTCTGATTGCAACAATGGGCTTGATACTGACAATGGCACAGGATAAGAAAAGGTTCAGATCTGTTGTCCATACAGTCACTATAAGTCACTGTGAACTCAAAATACCTAACAACATGGGCTGAACTGTGCCATCTTGTCCTCTCGATCAAAAATGAAAAGAAAAAAAATTTAAAGAGACAGATATTGCAGCCCTGTACTTGTGGATTTTTATTTGTGACTGCAGTACTACAAAATGCTTGGATTTATACTGCTGTGTTTAAATAATCTGCAGAAGAAGGATGGAAAAGTACCTCCTGTGCAATTAACTGACTCTTAAAACCCGCTGGAAGGTCAGCTATAGGTACTGTTTGGAAACAGGGTTTTAATTTTGTCACGTTAATGATAATATAACAGATCAAGATCTGTCCTAAAGCTAATAATTTTCCATTGTTTGAAAAAGAAAGAAAAACACTTCTCTTTATTTATTGAGAACTTCTCCCCACTTCCTGAGAGCTATCAATTGGGATACTAAAAGAGTCTCATTGCTTTCTTTAACTACATTTGCAAAACAGTTGCCACAATAAACCATTTAATTAAAAACTCAGAGAAACAATTCATGTTTGCAAATGGAAATATTTTTCTTGTATTGCCTAGACATTATCTTTTCAAATTTTCCATTAGAGTACTACTTCACTTACCATTGATGTAACTGATCGTGCATCTTCTTCATAATTCACTACTGGAGGGGGTTCTTTCCCAGCATTTTCTTGTACTTTTTGCTCTAATAGTTCCTTCTGTGCTGCAAACTTGGCCTCAGTGCACTTCAGCTGCTGGACTGATTGCTTCAGCTCTTCAAGTGTCTGTTTTTGGCTCAGCAGAAGCACAATACTAAAAAGGGGAAAAAAAACAAACAAAAACTAGAAATGATTTCCACTTCTTTCCTATATAAAGACAAATTTTACTCCTTGGATGCAAAAAATATATTAAACTAAACAGATTTTAAGTCATCACATAGTTAAATGTCTGCTTTAACAAGAGCTAAATGTAAGATGTTTTAAAATATAACTTATGATATTATGAACCTCTTAGAATTGGTAGCTTCTTGTTACAGTAAATAATGCTGAATTCTTAAGTAATCTCTTCTGGAAAACTTTTTTTTAAAAAAATTACTCTAGTGAACATAAATTTTTGAGGATCCTATCTGGGAAAAAATAATCCTCACAATGTACCTAAGCCTTCAAAAAGCTTTTTGCTTGCATCTCTAAGAAAGAAAGGAGGTAATAAATGAAGAAAAGAATGAGAAAGAAGGAAAAAGAACAGGGAGGGAAGACAAATGCAAGGTAACAGTATAAGAAAAAAATTTTTAAGGTATGATAATGTTATAGCTTGAACTGTATTCCTCCAAAACTCATGTTGTAAATCCTAAACACTTTGGTTAGGAATTAAGAGAGCTTGGGTGGCCTGTTCTTCCTGTTTTATATGTCGTTGAATCATTTGCAATTCATAGCAAACCTATGTACAACAACTCTAAACCCTGCTGTACCCTGTGCCAAATTTTATCGTCTCTGACACACCTACCCCCATTACCCTAGTCGCTAAATCAATCCATCTCATCCAGGGTTTTCCTCTCTTAAACTATCACTCCGCCCTCCCAAGTATGACATTCTTCCCCAAGGACTGATCCTGCCTTGCTACATGTCCAAATTATATCAGTCAAATCTTCAGAATCTTTGCCTCCAAGGAGGAGCTTGCCTTCACCCTCCCTAGGATGAACCTGCTTGTTCTCCTATCAGTTCACAGTGTAGTCAATACTGTTCTCCAGCACCACAGCTCAAATGTATCAATGCTCCTTCTATCATCCCTAGTCATTGTACAACCTCCTGAAGCATAACAAGTAAGTGCAAAGACAATGGCCTGGATTGGGCACACCTTACTCTCCAGACTAACATCACTGCTCTTCAGTACTGTGGAAAGGTCTCTGACAGCAGACTTTCACAATGTAATTTGTCTTTTAATTTCCTGGCTGCTGGTACCAAGAGTGCTGATTGTGGAACCAGGCAAACTAAAGCTGTTAACAAACTCAATCTCTTCCTCATCTATAATGATGCTGCCAATCAGCCCAGTGGTAAGAAATTATGCTTTCTTAGGTAGTCTAGGGGTAAGAAATTGTGCTGCCAACACAAAGGCTTATGGTTCAAATTTACCAGCTGTTCTGGGAGAAAGATGGGCAATTCCCTTCCATGTGTTTTACTGCCTTTGAGTACATGCTGGAAAGTAAGCTATGAGTCAGTTCTTAGGGTAAAAAAATAGGATGCTGAGAAAGGCAAAGGGTCAGTGGAAGTGAAGAAGGTAACCCTTAACAAAATGAACTGAGACACTGACAACTGGCTTGAGCATTTGGAGTGTATTACATAACAAAACAGTAACTACATGTGGTTCTATTCCTATTTAAAGATGGGGTTTCTCTGTTATGTCAATGAGGCAATATTAGATGTATCTTAAATTCTTGAGATATAAAAATATTAAGCAATCAATAAAAGATTAAGCAATCAGACAAGAGTAGACATGAGAAGATAGACACAATACCCAAAAGAAACTTTTAAGGAGAAGGAAGGCAGTTGGCATAGTAATGCCATTTTCTCTTTTTTATAACTATTTATTCTTGTAATTAAATAAATCATTACTCATATGTTAATGATTTATTGTAAATTTATCTTCTTTCTTGTTGTTTTGTTGTTGCCGTCGAGTCACTTGCGACTCATAGTGACCCTATGTACAAGAGCCCTAAACCCTACTCTATCCTGTGCCAACTATTTCCGACAAACCACTCCCACTACCCCAATCACTGAATAAATCAATTTCATCAAGGGTCTTCTTCTCCTGTGCTGTCCCTCCACCCTCCCAAGCATGAGGTTGTCCCTCTCCAAGGACTGGTCCCTCCTTACAACATGCCCAAAGTATGTCAAAATCCTTGACTCCAAGGAGCAGCCTGGCTTCATTGAGTTGGGAATTTTTGGAGCTTGCAGAACAGGTTCCAGTTATCACAGGAGAACATCTTCTAAGACAACTGGATGTCTGGACCGACATCCATCTTCCCAATTGGTTGAACTCCTAATAAAGGGTCCGACAGCTTAATGGTAAAGAGTTGTGCTGCCAACCTAAAGGCACGTACTTTGACTCTATAAGAGACTCTGCAAGAGAAAGATGGCCAATATCCTCCCACACGATGTACTGCATTTGAAAAGCCACCTGAGGGTCAGTTATAAGATGGTTACATATACGTAAGACAGTACATAATAAAATCTTAGAACTTGGGGTCACTTTTTTTAGAATCAGAGTATTCAGGATCTTGACCTTCAGTTTGGTGGTAACAAAGCCACCAACAAACAGATGGGAAAGAAATTGGGATCTTTTCCTATAAGAAACAGAGAAGAAATGTCTTCCTCTAAGGCTGGTTGCCTGGGGATGGATTTCTAGTCACCTAAACTGTGAGAAAATAAATCTGTTAAAATCACCCACTTGCTTGCTTTCTTTCACAGAGTATTAGATGGTAGAAATACATTTTGATGAATATCTGCAGGTTAGTTTAAAATATGGAAGGCTTTTAGAAATATGGGAAAAATGAACAGAAAAACATATTTACTGAAAAAGACTGCCTCCGGAAACTCTATCAACTAAGAGAAACAATGAAAGTTATGAAAGTGTCCCAGTCTTTTGTTCATAGGACCGCTATTAGTAGTAGTCTACAACTTGCTGGCACTTAACAACAACAACAACTCTGAAAGCATTACTATTAGCAGTAGTCTTTCACAAATAATTTCATAATGATAAAAGTACAAAATTTAATAGTTTAGAGAATAAATAATTTAAAATAAATGTAATAGGAAATCACTGTCAGGCAAAATAATTACAAAAATCTAACTGTGAACTGTATATTGAAACATTATTTTTAAAAAATATTTCTGTGAATTAAATAAACATATTTTATTCTATCTTCAAATGTCTTAAGCTGACTAATGCCAACCCTCTCATCTTTTTTTATATATATGAAATATATTGTGCATATAGAGCATATATTACTTAATATATTCTATATATATATGGCTTCATGATCAACACCCTTGGCACCAGCAGCCAGGAAATAAAAAAACGTATTGCGATGGGAAAATCTGCTGTTAGGGACCTCTCCAGGGTACTGAAGAGCAAAGGTGTCACTCTGGAGACTAAGGTGCATCTGATACAGGTTATGGTCTTTGCAATCACTTGTTATACATCGGAGTGTTGGACAATTGATGCCTTTGAGCTGTGGTGCTGGAGAAGAGTATTGAATATACCATGGACTGCCAAGAAAACAAGCAGATTCATCCTGCAGAGGGTTAAACCAGGCTGCTCCTTGGAGGCAAGGATTCTAGGGCTTCATATGACATACTTTGGACATGTTGTAAGGAGGGACAGGTCCTTGGAAAGGGACATCATGCTTGGGAGGGTGGAGGGATGGCGTAGGAGGAGAAGACCCTCTATGAGGAGGATTGTTTCAGTGACTGGGGTAAGTGGATGGGTGTGTCAGAGGCAGTGCAATTGGCACAGGATAGAACTGGGTTTAGGGCTGTTGTACATAGGGTCGCTATGAGTCATAAGCGACTCGATGGCACATAATAACAACATTTTTATATATATATTATATATGTATTTTTTTCACTTGAGTACACAAATAGTTTATGGTAGATAGGTGTCTTAGTGATCCACATACTGATGCTATAAAACAAATGGCATACATTGGTATCTAAATTTTTTAACTACTATTAATTTTAATGAAAATTCACAGAGACTTTGGATTTCCATTCATTCATTGTTGCACTTTTCTCCCTGCCCTCCTCTTCCCCCACCCCAGTTCACTCTTCCCTTTGAAAAGTAAAAGAAAAATTCTTTTATTGTTTTACAATCCATCTCCACGGTCCACTCCACTATGCAGCCTTTGCTCTGGACTCCTATCCTCTCATCTTAAAGACTGCTATACTTCTTTGCCAAATGTGTATATATGTTACTTCATACAACATAGCAATGGGTCATTACAGATGTGAGTAATAATATCTTGATATAGGAATAGTACATACAGTATATACATTATCAATATCTTGGAACTATCTAGATGAATCTGACACAATCCTCAATCCTTCAAAGAAGAAGCAAGAGGGGGGAATATTAGAGAAGTCCTGTAACTCAAGAGATATAAGCAACTGCCATCAAGTTAATTCCAACTCATAATGAGCTTCCATCATGTTTCCCAGGCTATTAAACCATCAGGGGAGAAGAAAGCTTTTTTTTTCAGTCCCAAGGACAAGGTGATAGATTCAAACAGTTGATCTTTCAGTGAGCAGCTCAACACATAAAACACTATGCCACCAGAACTCTTAGTATGACGGGAACAGAATTTTTTTTTTTCTATTGACTAAGCGCTAAGGTCAAAAGGAGAAAATTAATGTAACATGGAGCCAAGAGCCAAAAATTATATAAAACCTTTAGAAACTAGAAAAGGCAAGAAAACAGATTCTTCCCTAAAGCCTCCAGAAATAATTCACTTTATCAGCATTGTAGTTTTAGGCTTATAAAACTCATTTTGGATTTCAGACTTCCAGCAAAGTAATAGAATTAATTTATAGTGTTTTAAGCTACAAAATTTGTGGTAATTTCTTACAGCAGCAACAGAGATATATTTTAATTGTAATATATTACAAATGCCAACAGAGATATATTTTAATTTTTAAATGTCAAAAGGAACCCTAATAGCATAGTGGGTTAAGTATTCAGTTGCTAACTATAAAGTCTATAGTTTGAACCACACAGAAGATGAGAAGGGTTGTTTTCCTATAAAGATTCTGTAAGGCAGT